GATAAGACTACGTCAAATAAAACTGCCATGTGATCAGAAATCCCATTTTCAAGGACTTCCAGATTTGACACCGGTAGACCATAAGCAAGGACAAGGTCTAAAATATGTCCTTGTTCATGTGTCGGGCTGGTCACATATTGCACGGAATTAAAAGAGTCGATAAGTCTTAAGAAGTCCTTTGCTAGTGGTTTTTCCGGACAGCACACATGGATGTTAAAATCCCCCATTAGGAGGATATGATCATATCTCAGCCTGATTTCCGCAAGAAAGGTTGAAAAATCACTTTAAAAGTCTTTGTTGTATTTAGGAGGACGGTAAATGACACCGCAAAGCACCGGGAAGACACGACCGACTTCAAAGAAGGTTGCTTCAAAGCTGGTGGTTGATGTGGTGAATGTGCACCGTTTACATTTGAAAATGTTCTTCAAGATACTCACCGTTCCTCCACCACGGCCTGAGGTCCTCAGGGTATCGAGGAATGCACAGTCAGGTGGCAACAATTCAAGTAAAGCGTTGGACTCAGCAGTACCTGCCCAAGTCTCCGTCAGACACAGGAAATCCAAGTCATTGGAAAGGAAATACTCCCTCAGAATATGGGTCTTGTTCGTCAACGACGTTTAACAAAGCGATCCTTGTGGGAGTGGCAATGGGAGGGATTGCCTCTTCCGATTGCCGAGCCCGGGGGAATTCCCTCAAAAGCTTTCGCTGGACTCCTCGCCGAGAAAGGCGCAGAGGGTAGAAATGCCGTGGCGCGGTGGGAGAGCCAACGACTGTTATCAAGCACGAGGCGACAGGGTCGAGGGCTCGCGATGTCAGCGAGATTACGCGCGTACGCGCACGACGGAGTAATTCCGTGCGTTCGGGAACGAGTAGCGATCTTAGTGAGTCTCGGATCCCGTTTTAGCTTCACAAGCTGACCGTTACGTTTGCCGCGGCGGCGCTTCCGTGAAGGGGGCGACCGAACGTGGAAGAGATTAGCCGGCACGTTAGCCAAAATCGGAGGTAGCGTCTTTTCACCACCGTCTTGCCAAAACGCGGCCGAATCTCCGACGTGTTGTTGAATCGATAACAACGACTGACGATCGTAAACCAATCGAGACGCTGTTAGGAAGGTAACAAGCATTGCGAGTAGTAAAAAAAAACGAAATAGCAGGAGCGTCGCCGAACACACTGGCGCACTGTCCGCCATCTTGGATCATCTTCAGTTGTTTGAAAAACTGAAACTGAATTGTAGAATTTGAATTTAAATTCCTCACTGAAAATTGCGTCTACTTGTACATTCAGTTTTACAACTACAAATTGAAATCTTTTCCAATCGGTGGGCTTGACTTTTCACATTTGGCGTTAAACTAAAATGCTCTCGGTACACCCTTTAGGAGTGAATTTCATTTGACATTGTCCAAATTTTTGAAAGTCCTTTTTGTCCTTTTGTTTCTCTAACTTAGTCTGATCACTTGACTCGGGTGTGTTGGAAGAGGGAGACATCTAAAACAGGCGGGGGTGGGGAGGGGGTGTTTGTTTCTGTTTCGTTCATGTTCGGGGCCGTTCCGGCTGTTGCTCATCGTGGCGTGCGTGGGTGCATATGCGCGCGTGTGCATGTTTGGGTGCACGCACATACGCGATCGGGTCGATCACGGGAGGTTGGTTGCTTCAAAAGTCGATCTTTGGTCAAAAAAGTTTGGCCACCTCTGGTTTAGAGTGTCATCAACAATTGTCGCAGGGATACAAATGGATTAGAAGAATCATATAAGGCATAATAAAAGTGGACATCTTTGGAAATTTTCATGGATTCGACACCTTTTGTCAATTTTACAATTCAGCCACATGTAGACCAAAAGTACTGAAACATTGATCAGTGCTAGCTAGTCCTAGTACTTTTTAAAGACTTTCTTGTATATCCAACTCTGTAACTAACTGAGGTTGTTCCTCTCTAAACCATGTTTCTTTCATTAACAAAAGAAAAGACCATTTATGGTGGGAAAAATAAGTAGAAAGATGTGAAGTACCGCAAAATCCACTAAGAAGCCATCGGTTTTCGGCTTGTGAGAAATTTACCTTGTCTTTTGTTGCGTTTGGCAAGACAAGACACTTGACTGTCGGTTAGAGTCAAATGTTGACTGGCTGTAATGTCGCCCCCAAGTCGCGTCCTCGTGATGACAACCTGATGCACAAAAATCAGCAAACTCATAGCGACAGTGATATGGCACGAAACGCTTTATGCTCATTTGATTAGGTACACTTGCACGTTCAAATGAAATCTGGTACACCAGCTGTTTCACAAATGTGGCTTGCCAACGAGGTATCGAAAAGCTAAGTGGTGTAAGGACTGCTTTGCTGAATGTTTTTAATATTTTGGTGGTCTTATGAGAGGAACAAAACATGAGACGGGACTGTCTTTATGGTCCTGTGTGTGTGTGTGTGTGTGTGTGTGTGTGTGTGTGTGTATTTATTTTACTTTGCATTTTGGTATTGCTACTTTGTTACTGACTTTGTTGTTTCAACATGAGTGGACAGTCATTGCAACAGTGCAGAAAGTCCCCAAATAAACCAGTCAGTACCATTTTCTTTCCAGGTCAAAGTCCCTAAATGCCACAATTACGAAAAACATCAAATACTGATTCCAGAAAGTATTTACAGTGCTTGACTTTTTCTTTTCCAAAATGTTTTACTGCCATATTCTGAAAAGGATGAGATTCATTTATTTCCCTCAAAATTCTCCACACAACGTCCAATACACTGGCTTGTTGTTGGGCGAACACTAACAGATGTTGCCAATGTTTAAGGATGGATACACGGTTACCACAAAGTATTTTTTTTTCTCACTTCAGTTAATAGATCCGCCATAGGGGGCAGCTGTGACATAAACCCTACATTGTGTGCTGCTCGAATATATTTGTTCAGCTGTGTATGTACAATAGTATTTGGTATTACAGCTTCGTCCAAATCTGTACAAACAAACTAAGCATACAGAGTAAGTGTTCAGAATGTTCTTTTGCTGCCTGCCAACAGCCTCCAAAACACCACTCGATGGCAGTATTGCTCTCCAACTCTTCGCTCGCCATTCTGTCTGTCAAGTATGACTACTTGTATTTATAATTGGAATTATTCCTACTGTTAGGAATATGAATCGATTTCGTGTTATAACCAGAAAAACGAACATATTATTAAAAGTAAGACCATTCTCTCCCATTGGCTCCCACTTGATGCATTAATTAATGGACGCGACAGCTTCTTGTTTACTTTGAAATGTACCATTTAGCCGACGTGTGCACGTTTTGATCAACTGGTGACAGGACACTACGATTTTCTCCTTTTTCATCGAGAACTGCTTCAAACAACAAAGCGTATGACGAAAGAGTGATTGCACGACTTGTCCGTGAGTTTATGTTATGTGTTGTGTTTATTATTCACTTTAGGTTAACTGTTTTGTAAAGCGCTTTGTTACAGCTGCAGCTGTTGTGAAAGCGCTATATAAACAGGATGTATTGTATTGTTCTGTCTCGCTTATATACCCTTTGAGGTTTTTCTTGGCCGTTTTTGGCCACAAGCAAAGACACGGTTAAACCCTCCCCGGCCCTCTATTCCGAGTTCCGGGTTTGTGGTCTCACTATTTTGCTTTTTTGTTGTTGTTGTGTACTTTGTCACTGATTTGTTTTGACTCACGTTTATTTTGAGTGTAATTCCACTGTCGAACACGTGAGAATGGCACATTGTTTTAGATTCGCACTGTAAATTTGAAAGAAGAACGATAACGGGTAATATTTCAGCTCAGCCTAGTTTTTGCCGAAAATTCATTAACAAAGGGATGACTGTCGGTTCATTTTATAATGGGCATCTTTGAGCAAGATTATTGATTAATATTGTAAGATAATAAATTTGTTAGTTTGGAAAAAACAGTTTAAACAGAAGTATGTTTTGTAGAATATTTTTATCCATTGCTCATGCTTTCTCTCAATTTGTTGTGTTTAAATGTGTTTGTATTATTGTAAACGTTTGTTTAATGACTTCAAAAAAGACGAAGTGCCGCAAATGCTCATCCCCAAATTGTAATTTATTAATTACAAATACACCACATTTTTTTTACCGATCTGTGCCAGCCAAGCATTGTGACAAACAGGAAGATTCAATGCACTTCTGTTAGCTGGTAGAAGACGCAAACGGCTGCTTCCATCTGTTGCCGATGGCAGCTTTGTGTTCAACTAAGTCAGCCCAGATTTCACACCAAAGAAATGTATGATTAAATTAAGACGTGATCACCAATTATTTGCACTGTATTCAAAGTTAGGACAAAAATCTTGTTCCTGCAGTGTGCTGTGAGACTTTTCTGATGTAAAAGAAATACCGTATTTTCCGCACTATAAGGCGCTTCGGAGTATAAGGTGCGCCTTTTCATTTATAGGGCGCATAGAATAGAAGCAACAATACTGGCTGCGGTTGCGTTATGCATCCAGTAGATAGAGCTATGCAAGGGAATACAATAAAATACAATATCGCTTTATTTATACAGAGCTTTCACAACCGCTGCAGCTGTAACAAAACGCTTGACAGAACATTTAAAATACGACTTCCAAGCAATCAGCAAGCTCCATACATAAAGCGCATCGGATTATAAAGCGCACTGTCGGCTTTTGAGAAAACTGAATGCTTTTAGGTGCGCCTTATAGTGCGGAAAATACCTTGATTGGCTCAATAAAGGGTGGGAAATTGCAGATAATACAGTAGTTTGAATTCCATGTTTTCGTTAACTTTTTGAGACACCAAATTGTATCACTTCTTGACTTTTTGGCTTCGGGGCATTCTCAGTGTGTCACGGTAAATCAAAGTAGGAATGAAAACTATGAAAGTTGTCCTTTCCACTTTGCAGCCTCGCTCTTCAAAGCAAACATCACCATGTCCTGTGCAGAGGAGGTCAGTATTTACTTTTTGAGTGGGTGATGGCGCAACTGAACAATAATTAACCTATCCCAATCCGATTTGAGAGGATTTGCTCAACTTTGTCAGATAATATGACACTTCCTGACAAAATGTTCCTCAGCTGTCTTGGATTGGTCCTTGTCTTGTCTCACCCCGGAGTACTTCATGGTACGTCACATTCATTCTGATGCTGTTTACTGAGCAGATATGACTTTTTATGACCTTTTATTTTTTTTTTTAAATGTTGTTTTTTTTGTTTTGTTTTTTTAGCCCAAAGCTCTGCAGAGCACTGTTCTGCTCCCCAGCTGGAGGGAGGTTTTTTAGTGCCTCAACTACAATTCTATTTGCATGAAAGCAAACTCGCATATGCTTGCAACTTTGGACAGAAACCAGCAGTGGAGGGCTGGTGGGCCACCAGTGTATGCCTGAATGGCCAATGGTCTCATACACCACAATGTATTGGTGAGTATAATCTAGACTGTAAATTAGCGTCAACTATTTTCAATTTGAGGAGCTGTGTTGACATTTTTACCATGAGAACAAAACGGCAGCAAATTGTGCTCAATTCAATGCCTTACCTGGATGCAGTTTGGTTGCTTGCTGCTGATTCCTCACAGGTTGGAGTTTGACCTCAAATCATCTCATTTAAATTGCTGCTTGCAAAATAAACTGAGATTGTTTGACTAATGCAACGCCCTGGGTGACCCCGATTAGTATGAGCAGAAACGTTGTCTCATAGGGCACCGGAATGATGACATCTTTTTTTTTTTCTTTAACGGATTGATAATGTTCAACTCCTTGTCGGTATGCCTGATTCTTGTTTTGTGTGCTCCACTTAAACATTCATTCATTCATTTTCCGATCCGCTTTCTCCTCACAAGGGTCGCGGGGGGCGCTGGAGCCTATCCCAGCTGTCCTTGGGCAGTAGGCGGCGGATACCCTGAACCGGTTGCCAACCAATCGCAGGGCACACAGAGACGAACAACCATCCGCACTCACACTCACACTTGGGTACAATTTAAAATGTTCCATTAACATGCCATGCATGTTTTTGGAATGTGGGAGGAAAACGGAGTACCCGGAGAAAACCCATGCAGGCCCGGGGAGAACATGCAAACTCCACACAGGGAGGCCGGAGCTAGAATCGAACCCGGTACCTCTGCACTGTGAGGTCGATGTGCTAACCACTGGATCAGCGGGCTGCCTTGCTCCCCTTAAACATTCAGAGTAAAATCAAAAGAGATTTCTGTTCATCGAAAGCAGATGTTCTTCAACTACTTGGTTTTTGAACGTCTCGAGAACAAAGTTCGTGATATTGCACCTTTTATTCTGAAAACGTCACCTTTATTTTCAAAGCTCTAATCTTCAAAAGAACAAAGACAAATGTAGTTGGGATAATGTATTTTCCAAGACAAAATCCAACTGTTAAATTTAAGCAGGGAAGATGTTATACTTTAAGTCAGTTAAAAAAAATAATGTCTAACTTTCATCTCATAAATAATCATTTCATAGAACAAGCAAAAAAAAAAAAGAATCCAAAAATATAGAACAAAAAACAAGACAAAAAAATCTGTGAATTTGTGAATGGGTGCTGAACTGCGAATATGCAGGGGTCAGCTGTAGTTTTAAGTTGTAATATCACCAATCACTACTAGATGGAAGACATGTCTGAATTCTGCTTACACTGGGCCAAATATATTTTTGCCAATTTGGAATGATATGCAGGACAACCATAATACCTCAATAATATTATCACACTGAGTTCTTCCACTTATTGTTGGTTTATTGCGCAACAGTTTTGTGCTGTCCTTGAACGGTCATTCTTATGCGAGAGTCATTTAAGCCCCGGGCTGTAGATCTCAAGCTCGGCTTATACTACGCTTTATGTTGTTGGTGTAGTGGTGGCGGTTTTATAATTAGCCACACCAATAATTAAGATTTGTTCTTTCCACACATGCGCTTCTTTAAAAGAGAAAAAAAAATCATAATTTTGCTTTCCTCAGATGAAAACGCCTGCTTTGCACCAGATATTCCAAATGGAAAATACAATGAAAGTCCTGAAGGCTTGTGGTACCAAGAAGGATCAGTCATTCGGATAAAGTGTGACGAAGGATACAAACACAAAGGTTTGGGAGCAACAGCCACGTGTACAAAGGGAGCTTGGTCAGCTTTGCCGGTTTGTGAACGTACGTCCCATCACATTCACCAACTACTAAGTGCACCTGTATACATCAGATACTGATACAATATTTCCATGACTTCTTTCCAGGAAGTGAAATGTCTTGTAATGAGCCGCCTAACATCCCGCACGCCGTTGTCCTTCACAAGTACCAGGACATATATGCAGGAGGCTCTGAGGTCCACTATGAATGTGAAGACGGATACAGTGTTGAGGGTGCAAACTCCAGGAAATCTGTCATTTGTATTGCTGGGTCCTGGACACCAGCTCCAAGCTGCAGTAGGTTCAAAAACTGTCCTAAGATGCACCTGGAACGTTTTGGTTTTCCCAACTTTTTATTGTTGTTGCTTGATTTTTTTTTTTTTTTTTGTGTGTGTGTCAGCAATATCCAAGCCAGGTCCTGAAGATGATGGAGACACATCAGGTGGCATGACAAAACCTGTTGATGGAAGTAGGTTAATAACACTACGTAATAAAATAAAACGATGACATTGATCATACAGAAAATGTAATGTAGAAAATGAAAATGTTTTCACTTTCCTGTCAGGTAGAGGAAGGGGGCAAGGTGGTGGTGATACTGATGCCAGAGTTGGTGCTCCTTCTGGTGGGGCCACTACTGGTGTCAGTACTGGTGGTTCTACGGCGAGTGAAACAGGTGGGTAATTGAAAACTTTCTTTGGCAAAACATCTGTAGAAAGACAACTCTTTCGAGCAGTCTTTTGCCACCCGTACTTACTCATTGTGAAATCTGTGCCCGTGTAGTTGAACCCTGAGCTATTATTTCCATTATTTGAATGGCAAGAGGTGGATTCGCAGGTTCATTGTCTGAAATTAAGTGCATACGTGTAAAGACTTCGTCATGTAAATGCAGATTTGTTTCCAAAGATATTTGACATGTTTGTAGATAAATGCAGAAAATGTGCGCAGATTGACAACTATGTAGCAGTGAATTTTGGCGACATAGTGTTCAGTTTGTTTGATTTTTGGAGGCGTGTGGTTAAAACGAGTGCATACGTGTAAAGACCTTGTCATGTAAATGCAGATTTGTTTACAAAGATATTTGACATGTTTGTAGATAAATGCTGAAAATGTGCTCAGATTGACAAGTATGTAGCAGTGAATTTTGGCGACAGTTTGTTTGATTTTTGGAGGCGTGTGGTTAAAACGGTAGGCAGTGACGCACTTTGGCCCCCTGCTATGTCAGAACCTGAGCGCCTTTGTTTCCATCAGTGGTTATCCAGTGCATTTGCTTTATACTCTAGTGACGCACTTTGGCCCTTTGCCCCCCTGCTATGTCAGAACCTGAGCGCCTTTGTTTCCATCAGTGGTTATCCAGTGCATTTGCTTTATACTAAGACCTAGTAACTTAACAACTAGGAATGTTACGATAACGGCAATATCGCGATATTAAAGTTGCCACGATATCGTCGTCGTCGTGTCACAATACTGTGTTAAAAGCAGCACGTTTGTTAAGTAGGCCAGGCTATTTTCCATTTGTGCGGTTCTAGCACCCTCTAGTGGTGAGCAGTTCAATTTGATATCGGCATGTTATGGCCACCGACGTTTGCGACCCACGCTTGAGAGGGGAACGTAGCACGTTTGAGTTCCTCCACAAATGAACTCAATTCACAATGCAAGTGCCTCAAGATAAAGTCTTATTCCCGTTATCAGCCGAACATAGCAATTGTGAACTAACATGGTACTCTGCGCCCCTGAGCCGATAGGAGCAAATGGCTGGCCAATCCTCTTTCTTGGTCACTGCTCGTATGTTTTATTCATTTATTTATGTAATCGTTAGTTTTTATACAGTATCGTGAGTTTTTTTATATCGCCAACTTCTGCACAATATTATGATAAGCTAAATCGTGAGGTTCATATCATAACATTATTGCATCATGGCGTTTTGGCTATCGTTACATCCCAAGTAGTAACTCTCTTCACGGCATGGAAAGCACTCTGACCACCTGCTTTGATACAACGCAGCTCCGAGAGACTTTCAGCAGAAGCTTCTCTAAATCTGCAAGATTTGTATTTATTTTGAATGATACTTTGCACCAGACAGGCCAGTCATTGAGGTCAAACGAGTATGTTACTTCCAGGCGTTCAGTCGATCCATTTCAGAGATTATTGTTGTTTATTTTATACAAGTAAAACAACATCCATCCACTCTACAGCATCGATGTTGTAGAAAGTTGTCCAGAACAGCCAAGTAGACTTTATCTGGACATATTTAAAAATAAGAGCTCCTAAGATGTATGCTTTGCCACACGATTGAGAATTAAAATCGAGCGATTGTGAAACTAAGTTGAGCATTTTTCTTTTTTTCTCTGATCAAGGATCTGTAACCACTTCTGACAAGACCGAGAGCACAAACTCACCCCTGGTCATAGCAGGTAAATAATTCATATTGATATACTGAACTGTGCTCAATGTTCTGGTCAGGAATGCAAGAAAATTACAAACTGTACAATTAACATTTCATGGATAACATGAATACAGTGATGTGATTTTCGCTTTAAAAATTAATCTTTGGACATGTTTTTAGCAATTACCTTTGGACATGCGCGTTGTCAGCCGAACATAGCAATTGTGAACTAACATGATAGTATCATGTTCAGGGGCGCAGAGTATCAGATACTCTGCGCCCCTGAGCCGATAGGAGCACTTGACTTAAAAAAAAAAAAATGACTGGACAATCCTCTTTCTTGGTCACTGCTCGTATGTTTTATTCATTTATTTTTATAATCGTCAGTTTTTATACAGTATCGTGAGCTTTTTTATAATGCCAACTTCTGCACAATATCATGATAAGCTAAATCGTGAGGTTCATATCATAACATTATTGCATCATGCCAAGTAGTAACTCTCTTCACGGCATGCAAAGCACTCTGACCACCTGCTTTGATACAACGCAGCCCCGAGAGACTTTAAGAAGAAGCTTCTCTAAATCTGCAAGATTTGTATTTACTTTGAATGATACTTTGCACAAGACAGGCCAGTCATTGAGGTCAAACGAGTATGTTCCTTCCAGGCATTCAGTCCATCAATTTCAAGCCGTCAGAGATTACTGTTGTTTATCATATACAAGTAAAACAACATCCATCTACTCTACAGCATCGATGTAGAAAGTTGTCCAAAACAGCCAAGTAGACTTTATCTGGACATATTTACTGAAACAAGAGCTCCTAAGATGTATGCTTTGCCATACGATTGAGAGTTAAAATCGAGCGATTGTGATACTAAGTCAAACATTTTTCTTTTTTTTTTCCCTCTGATCAAGGATCTGTAACCACTTCTGACAAGACCGAGAGCACAAACTCACCCCTGGTCATAGCAGGTAAATAATTCATATTGATATACTGAACTGTGCTCAATGTTCTGGTCAGGAATGCAAGAAAATTACAAACTGTACAATTAACATTTCATGGATAACATGAATGCAGCAATGTGATTTTAGCTTTAAAAATTCATCTTTGGACATGTTTTTAGCAATTACCTTTGGACATGCATAATGTATTCGGAAACAATTCACTCTATAGGATTTTTAGAGTGCAAACATTGTCTGATGCTGTCTTGCTGTTATTTTGTTGCTTTTGCTTCATATATTTAAACCCAATGGGTATTATTTTAACTTTAAGACAACTTAAAAATGCTTAATTATTTTTTTTTTCTTTCAGTTTCCAACTGTGGATCATACCCAAAAGTTCCAAATGGTGACGTTGTGCGAAAAAGAACAATGTCGTTAAGGTATGCGTGCAACGGTTTTTACAAAAGGGTCGGTCCAGAGACAGTGGTGTGCTACAGTGATGGGACTTGGTCACAACTACCTACATGCAAAGGTAAGTCAACTTACCTCTACTTTTTCACAGTAATTCTCGTGCTAAAAATAAATAATGCAGTCACAAAAAAAAAAAAAAAAAAATTAATGCTCGTGCTAAAAATAAATAATGCAATCACAAAAAAAAAACAAAAAGTATGTCTAAGGGAGAAGATTACCGGTAGCTACTTACTGATGGCCCCTGTATAAAGAACTCAAATGGATCCAATTTGTCCTTCTTTACGTTGTGCAGAAGCATTTTGTCAACTGAATCTTGACGAGTACACGAACTACAATTTCCAAGAATCTGGAACACTCATTCTAAAAGAACGTGAAACCAAGAGAGTTCAGTGTATCTGGCCCGATTTCACGGGCCGAATTTCGTGCACGAAAGGGCAAATTAAGATCAGCCCATGTAAGTTCACACTACACACTTTGTCCCCTCAGTGATCATTTACATCACCGTTGTCATTACTCCTTTCATTGTTTTCCGTTATTGCTTAGGTTGTCACGAAAGGGACTACTATTACGTAAGTGTTTTTCTCAGACCATTAAAAAATATTGATATATTTAATGTATTATACATAATCATTCATTTTTAACCGATGATAAGCATGTCTGCTTGATAGTTTTCCATTGAGATTCATCTGCTGCTAACTTATTTTTTTCTGTTACATGTTGCAAACAGAATAGGTGCCACTGACTGATGGTCATCCCTTGGGATACTGCTTCCACATGAAGAGAGCAGTACAGAAAGACATTCACAAAGTTTGTCATTAAAAAAAAACAAAACAATAATTCCTTTATGTTGTCTCCACGCTTTCTTCTAACAAGTTCACAATAAGTTTTAGGAATTAAAATAGATCGGGGCAGCACGGTGGAGGACATGTTAGCATGTTGCAGTCACAGTTCTGAGCTTTGAAAAGGGTTTGGATCATGTTATCCTCAGACTCTCGTCTCCTCTCTCTCTCTCTCTCTCTCTCTCTCTCTCTCTCTCTCTCTCTTCATAATTATGTCACTTGTGTATAAAACTATTTATAACATTTTATTCATCGTTCGTGAAAAGCACACCATGCGAACCCTTGATAAGAGTCGAACAGGAGCCATCTGATGGCATTGCTGAGATAAAAAAAAAAGTCTGTTCACGGCTTGACTTGGGAGTGGCTGGGGCTTTACATCCCGACCTCATGATGAGACGAATGCTGAATTAGCCTTTCTGTCTACATTTCAATGTGGCACATAATTGCTGATTCAAAACAGGCGGGCCGCCTTGACAAGACATTGACTGCGGCGGCGTCTCTTAATTATGTGTTTTTTTGGTGGGGACTTCATGCGTGATGACGCCATCCGACACACAAGCTGACTAATGAGCATGAACAGAGTGTTCTTGGCAAAATCTTTTCACTCCTTCACTACTTTCATGACATTTTGAACAGACGCAAGCTTCACAGCCACCCCCAGGACCTGCAAGGGTTTAGTGCCAGCTCACGCCGCTCCTAAGGAGGAATCAATAAGTGTTAAATCGGAGGCAAGTGCCACTGAGAGGACCACGGGCCCTCTGCTTCTGTTATTATGTTCTGGTTGGAGTTGATTGCGAAGAACATAACACGCTAGCTGGTATACGCTTTTAATACCTCTTGAGTGTGTCACATAGGCACCAGTTGCGGGCTGACGGGAGGAAATGGGCAGATGGGTGTAGAACTTCAATACTTAATGGATTCAGAGAAGTACATTTCGTCTGCATTCTGTGTATAGCATTTGAATGTACTGTGGTGTATTGTCTGGAGCGTACATTTCAATCAGATTGTCGGGCGGGAAAGCTGTGTTAGAATCATTCATCCATTAGCAAGCGCTGCAGAAGCGTGATAACGATCCTGATTATTTGAATCGGGTGTGTTGGAGGAGGGAGATGTCTAAAACAGGCTGGAAAGGGGCCCTCGAGGACCGGGGGAGTTTTCGAGCAACCTGTCTGTGGTATATGTAAGAGGAAGCCTGAGTACCTGAGAAAACATCAAGCACGGGAAGAACGGCCACACAGGCTGACATTTGAAGCCAGAACCCAATTGTGAGACACAGATGCGAACCTGCACCCCACTGTGCTGCCCTGTTTTGCAAAATGAACCACCTCGCGAAGATTCGATGAAAGACATGTTGCACTCACAACAACAAAACTGTTTCTTCAATATCATATTTTGTTGGAAACCAATTTCACTCAATCGTATTATTATTATTTTTTTTAGTCCGTGATTTACCGCCCAAATATGTCTGCGTCGATGAAATTTTTAGTTGATAATAGGTGGATTATTAACCAATCGCAGCCTTTATACCAAAGCGTAACGACCAGCACAATAGCATTTTTGTTGCCTGCGTGACCCAATTAGAGGAAAAAATGGGGACTCTTTCGAACAGGGAAGTTATCAGGTACAATGGACAATCTCGTTGGATCTTGTCACCATGGTAACCCCGGACCCAGACCTTGTTCACTGAACCACACGTTTGCGGTTTGGGAGTGCGAAACATCTAATATACGTCATTATTCAACACATACACATCAAGTGTATTGAAAAAAATCGTATTTTCATGTACATTAAGTCAGAGAGAGTGACATATCCAGTATAAATACAATTTATTGTCGAGTAAAAACTCCCGGGGACTTGTTTGGATTGAGACCCTTCATTGATATTGCGGTGCTGTCCTTTAACCCCCACGTTACAAACATAATAGTGTCCACGATAATATCTTCCTCCGATTTCTAAAACGTGAGAGAGCGCACACATGATGAGGAAAAAAATGGCCACGCGCTGTGCTTTCTGGTGTACTCGTTATGACACATAACCATATCTTCAACCACTACACGAGTCTTCTCCCCCTGAACCAAAGGATACAAAAGCGGGATATTGTTCTCGTCAGCTATCTTAAAAATAGGATGCATTGGTTGGTTATTTGTGAAGGCTTGGCAAAGAAAATATCCCAAGATGCGCTTTGTGCTGCTGCCATGGAAACACTTCACAGTCTGGATGGTGGGGTTACACAGCTGTTCCAATTTACGAAGAGACTCACCTTAGGAAGAACGTTCTTGTGTACTTTTGTCGGAAGATTGTCCTTGGAGTTTACAAAACCGTACTCTGCACTCTTCATGTTGAGAAATGCCCAAGGAGTAGGCTAGTAGTTGTAGTGATAGATTTATAACAAGCTATGCTAGCTGTGTAGTTAGCTCATCTGGTAACTACATTACGGATGCAAACTCTCGTGATTTTTATTGTGATGAATGACTTAACAGCGATAGTTGTTCAGGATGATATTTTAAGGATCAAATATCTAAAGTCCTTGCTGACTTCGATCATCAGAATGGGGGAACCATGGTATAATTTGAGCAGATTTCTGGTGAGCACTTTGCTTTAGCGGTTGCAAATTTGATTGAAGTTCGGACTTTCTTCTGAAGCCTCGGTCATCAGAATGAGAAGGAAACAAAAATAATGGTGAAAGAAAGGAATGGTTCCTGATCTAAGCTAGCACAAACATCGAGGTAGTGTATGTCGTGTTCATGTATGGCAGCGAATAGAACAGGCTCACTTGTTTTTATTGATGATGTAACGATTGACAGATGGTAGATGGATGACTTCAGAGCTGTAAAGGACCTCGACCCCCCTCCTTCCAACCCCCCTCAAGAAACACACTCTGTTGTATTTTTTGTTGTACAAGGAAGGAGCAATTTCCGAGTAAATGTGGCGCGCAAACGGTGCTAGCATCGCACCAACCGCTAGTTGCCATTTGTCTGTAGCAGAAATCTTAGTGACAAATGAACGACTTCTGCCTTTGCTGCCAAACTGTTCTGACACTGCTTTAGGTTTCAGATAATGACCGTAAACATTCTATTAAAGAAACTCAAATGTTTTTTTTAAAGGAAATTAAATCCAAAGTCGCTTGATTTTGGTTTTTAATAGATTTTAGTTATGCCCATGTCTGTCTCATTACGTCAACTCAGTCCCTTGTGTTGACCACTCAGCTCCTTAAGCTACTTGTGCCTTGTCCAGATGTTTCTCATCTCGTCGGTTGCTTGGATTTGAGTTTCCTGGTTTCTATCTGTCCTTGCCGGTTCATTGTTTGTGTTGTCTATCAGTTGTCACGTCCGTAAGTCATGTAGTGCAGAGTCTGATCTCAGTGTTGGTATTTTATTTTTGTTTTATTCCATGAGCCTAGTTTACTTTCAGCTTTGTTCTTCTTGCCTCTTTGTTTCCCTGCTTTTGGGTCCTCAGTCATACATAACCTTAACAGGAACTTTACAGGCTCCTTTGACCACATTGCCATTGTTTTATTTCAGATACGGTCCATTTGTTTTGTCACACTTCTTAACATGAGTGTTTTTCCCCCCTCCTGATTTGGGGATTTACAGTAAATGAGCTCACGATATATTATTTACGTCGTTTCATAAACCTCTCCTGAATTGAACTCGAGCTATCATGTTAAATTAAGATTCCGAGAGCAGTGCCTCTCGACTTCCTGACACTGATTAAAACAAATTAAGCCCAGTGGTTCCATTTCTATGCAGCTCATCTCATCACATCGTGTTCTCATCCCACAATTAAGGAACCATTTAGGTTATTATTCGAAGAAGAGCTCATTACATTTTGCGAGATATTTACATGGCCTGGTTCATGTTTAACATGCGCACAACCAGCTGTATTATATACCGAAACCAGCATGCAAGCAAAAAGAGTGACATCCATTGTGTGCACCCTACAGAGAAGAATACAATTGATATTCGGGGACATCACCGGCAGATTCGCCGCATCATCCTTGTGGCCAAACAAAAATGGTGGCATGCTGAGCGGCTGATCAACGCCTGGATGCACTGCTAGTTTTGCTGGAGTGTGTTGTGCTCTGGAAGACAACCTGCAGCCTTTATACAATGCTCAACACAGAGGAGACGCAATCTCCAACAATGTAATAGAAAACAAGGGTTAGTTTTTCACTGCATGGTTCAGGTGACCCAGTTCAGATTAGCTGTTTATGTGTGGGAGGGGTGGGGATGCTGAAGTGGTAATCAGTGCAATCAGGCCTCTGGCAAATGTGTTGTACGTTTTGTACAACTGCATTGGCGGGTTTCCAGGGTGGCAAGGGGTGGCAGCTGGCACCTCCATCAAATGTCTTGCTACGCCAGTTGCCACCCCTGCTTTTGGCAATGAATCTCTCAATATCAAATTCAAAAATGATTTTAGAAATGATCTTGATATTGTCTCCTTGGGGTGTCTAAAGGTTTTAATCACCAGTTTGGAATCCACACCCGCGCTGACCTCGCCTTTCAAGAAAAAAAAAAATGGTTTCATCCTATTGCGTCACCAATTAATCAGATGCATTTTACCTTTCCCATCACGAACTGACCAAAGAGAGTTGCGGAACCTTTGTTTACATGAGGTTGCTCTATGTTCAAATGGTCTGTCAAGTGTGACAACCCACTGCATGTGAAATGCGTTAGCAGCGTTTGTAGCCATTTGGTGTGTAATGACGCCGCCGCGACAAGGATAACTTTATCCAGCTTTCATCAAGACTTTCCAGAAAATGAACTCAGAATTTGAAATGTGCGCATGTGTGAACCTGCTGCCACCCCCTTTGTCAACCCAGGTAAAACCGTCTAGATCCGCCTCTGTATGTTTGCAAATCGGAGTGTGATATAAATGCAGACTTTTGGTGTAGCCCGTCAATGACAGCTTGATGTCAGAAAGGTAGCGAAATCAATACATAGATAGATGTATCGTCACAAATATCACAAAAGTGCTGCTGAAGCACTTGCCGGCAGCTCCGGCTGCCACGGCTCTGCCGCGACGACTTGCTGCTGCCATGCTCGGCGAGACCTTTATTAAAAAAAAAAAAAAAATCAGGCCACTGTTCAAAGTTTGCCCAAATACTGTTGAAAACGCTTGAAAGTATCATCATAATGAACAATTAAATAACACATCTCCCATCAACACCCAAGTATAAATAGATAATGGCAATTGAAAAGCTCATTAGAGTGCAAGTGTGCCTCATGTTTTTGCCGGCGGGTGTACGCACTGTCCAATTTCCGGGGATGTTCCTCTTTAAAAGGAAAAAAAAAACCACGACGTCATTGCGACGCACGTCCACACATCCAGAGATTGACAGAAGGAGGGAATATGCTGCACATGCAACATATGATATATTGAGGAGCCTTTCTGTGTTTTTTGAGGGGGGCTGGGGGGAGGGTGGTCCACATCCGCGCGGTGCTCCGAAGTGATCGATTCGGATGTGCCGCATGACTTGCCGGTCTCGACTTGTCTCATCCTCATGGCCGCTGATTGAACGCGTGTCATGACTTGCGCCCTCCGAGACGGCACAGTTGCAAGCAAAGACAGCAGCAGTCGGCGCCAGCATCTGCACAATCTGCTATCCGAACTCTCAACCATCAAATGATCCCTTTTTCGAGCGGGGGGGACTACATTTGGAGAAAGAAGAAAGACGGAAGCAAAGAAAGAAAGAAGATCGCTGAAGAATGGAGCGTCACTGTTCATAGAAGGTAAGCAGATGTTGACACCTATGCAGGAAAAAAACGAATTAAATATGACTGAGCTTTATACTTCGTACAACGTGCATCTCCATCTTGCCATCTGTAATGGAAAGGCTGATTTGACACAATGTAAATGTTGAATGGAGTCAGAGTAATCCACTACGCAGTGATTCCCAACCAGTGTGTCGCTGCCATGAGAACTCTTAACGGTGTGCCGCGGGAAATAAAAATTCACTTCATTGGTAAGAAAATTATTTATTAATAACAAATTATGTATCTTTGTCCCTCTGTCCATGCCAGTAATTTATAGTGACAGAATGAACAAATGAATGATTTTATATTAGATGGCAAAAAGTGTGAAATGGACATATGTCTCCTCATTTTGTGACAATTTTGTTTGCTGGTGTGTCTTGCGATTTTTTTTTTTAACTTAATGTGCATTGGCTCAATAAAGGTTGGGAATCACTGCGCTAATGAAGGCAGGGATAAGAACGAGCAATGGTGTTTTTGTTTTTGTGTGTTTAATGTCCAATTTGTTAGTATACATATAAGTGTATGCATTATGGTCAAAGACAGCCACTTCTTTCTCACTGGGCATCCTCCTGTTGTTTCTTTGCGCTAATGAAGGCAGGGATAAGAAAGAATAGTGATTTTTTTTTTGTTTTTGTGTATTTAATGTGCACGTCACTGGTTTAGGATCACCTCCAATTTGTTCGTATACATATAAGTGTATGCATTATGGTCAAAGCCAGTCACTTCTTTCTCACTGGGCATCCTCCTGTTGTTTCTGATACTGTATGTACAATTAAAATTATTTTAACCAAACTGCCAGGTTCTAATAATACGATAAATTTGAATGACCAAGAAATGCGATTTCATCATGCCATTGTTTGTGATGCCAAAAATGAGATTACCATCTAAATAAAACATTTCTGCGCACAAAAATGGCTTCAATTCCAATTTTTCCTCCGTCACTCAGAACTAAACGCACAGCAAGTCAATCACAATCTTGGCACATGCAGACAGTCCATTCAAACCCGTGAGTAATTTATTGTCTTCATTTTAGCGAGCAGATGTGTTTTTGGAAGCCAGAGTAGAATATTCTCATTTCATGATTTGAACTGGTGTCCCAATCTGAACCTTCTTGATGTGAAAATGTGCTAACCTCACATGACTAGAGATGAAATCGTAGGAAAATTTGACATCACAATTATAGAGACCGAATTACAGAGACTTTCACGATGCTGAAAGAAACAAAATGTGCCACAACAAACAGCATGACATCTTCGCTCAATGGTCACAAGAATGTTCACAGGAAGATTTGCTGAGATAGACGAACAAGTGACATGTGAATAAAGTAGCACAACTCAACACAAAATGGAGCAAAACTGTCAACTCGAATAGAAGCGAATCAAAACCCGCAAGCCTGAAGCAAAGGACTAATCTTTTTACACGCCACTTGCATTTACTGTTTGCCACGGAAATGTTTTTTTGAGCAAGGTGGAACGATAATAAGAGCTCCTTAATTCTCAGAGATGGCACATACAAGTTAAGGTAAATTCAACTAAACCAAAACAAAACTGAGGTACCGGTAATTGGTTTTGGAAATAACGAAAAGAGAACTGCTCTTACTCCACACTTGCAGACCTTGGGGTGCTGATTTATTTGGAACTGACTTTTCAATGAATGATTACAACTGCCTTTTACCAACTGACAAACATCTCCAGACTAAAAGGTCACATGCTCCAAGCAAATCATGGGAAGCTTACCCGTAATTTTAATTTTGATTTATTTCATTGCTGGCTGTCCGGTGCTCCCCTGGTTAGCGCGTCGACCTCACAGTGCAGAGGTACCAATTCCAGCTCCGGCCTCCCTGTGTGGAGTTTGCATGTTTCCCCGTGCCTGCGTGGCTTTTCTCCGGGTACTCCGGTTTCCTCCCGCATTCCGAAAACATGCATGGCAGGCTGATTGAACACTCTAAATCAGGGGTATCAAACTCATTTCACATTGTGGGCCACATACGGACTCGGTAGATGTCAAGTGGGCCGGACCATTAACATTATACCATATACTGTGCTATGAATCACCAAAATATCATCTTTCCTTTGTTTTGGTCTCAAGAAGCATTGATTGGCGCTTTCATATCATTTGCTGCGTTGGGTCTATCTCGGTGACAGACTGAGACTGCTGTTTTCTTC